TACGTAGTAGTAGTAGTAGTAGTAGTAGTAGAGTAGTAGAGAGAGAGAGAGATGAATGAGAGAGAGAGAGAGAATTTTATGGCTGTTTTATTACTTTTATTTCTTATTTCTTTTATTTTGTATTTAAGGGAATGAAGTCCCTCATTGTGATGGAGATTGGAATTGAGAGTCCCCATACCTTCCCTAAAAGCATAAGAGCACTCTAAGGAAATGCCAACAAAGACCTCTATACCTGGGAAATTGCATTCATGACTTGTCTCTCTCTAGGATGCAGTTTAGTGATTGGTCTTAGTTTTCCATTTGGGTTAGGAATGAACGATCTATGCATGGGAGAAAACCGAAAGGAGGATTCTATTAGGGCGTTTTTCATATCAATGACTGAAGATTCATTGAGCTTGTAATGAGAAGCTGCTTTTGTCTTCCATAAAGCATCTCTACTCGTGTAACAACCCGTTCTGTCAAATGAGAAATTACACTCTTGCCGGGACGATGAGACTCAATAAACGTATTAATATGCAAAAATAAGAAATAAGGGAATCAGAGTTGTGGGTAAAGAATTTGGGTCTTGTGAAAAGATCTTTTGAGGTGGACTCCCTTGCAGAAGAGAGGATATATTTTTTCACCCTTTGTTATTATTTTTATTTTAATTATTTCTTCCTTCCATACCCTTAGGAGAGGGTATACTCTCTCAAATCTTTATTTCTTATTTCTAATTTATTGTTTATCCCCATATTAGTTGGTATCAGAGCCTTGAGTTCAAAGATCCATTAATTATATGGAGCTTTTGGATCGATATGAGCAATTGGATCAACAATTCGATAGACACATGGAAGACCTTTGTAGATCAATACAACAATATCTACAAGATCGACTTAGTATATTGCAACAAGAGGAACAAGAATATGAAGAGGTAGATCTGAATACAAAAGACGACGTCGATAACCCAAATGTGCAAGAAATTTTGAAAATCAATTATGAAGAAGAAGATATGTGTGATGCAGTATTTGAAATCTGAAGGAGAAATCACGATTAAGCTTGCGATCCTAGTGTTTTACTTCAAGATGAACCCAAAGTATCTGTTGAATTGGTTTATTGAATAAAAAGTACTAAGGCGCATGGTGGGACTACGTCAACAATTATGTGATTGGCCTATGAAGGATATAAGTTCGATGTCGAGCTTCTCCCAACCCTGAGAGAATGATGCAAATAAAAATTTATGTGGATTCTTTTTTATTTATTGATTTATTCTTCTAAGTGTATTTAAAGGGAAGAAGTCCCTCATTGTAAACTAATATTTTGGTGATTCAGGAAAGAGTTGATCTGGTGAAAGGTCTTTGGGGTGGATTCCCTTGCAGACCTAGTATTCTCTCGCCTTTTATTATTATTATTATTATTATTTTAATTATTTCTTCCCTCCATCCTCCCTGCATCAAAATAACTTTGGTAAACCTTAGATTTCTCCTCTCCCAAGTTTCTCCTTTTATTCTATAGCACGCCTTTAAAGGAAATACTTTGAAATTATTTTCTCTTAAGCATTGTGAACTTCTCTAAAAGAATGTCTAAACTCTAATCATAAAATCCAAATTTATCTCAAATTTACAAATAAATTTACAGAATTTCCCTAAGGGAAAAATATATAAAAAAGAAATTCTTGTAAACTTTGCTTAATATTTCATAGAATATCCCTTTAGAATTTTTTATGGCATGAATTTTATGATTTGGGAGAATATTTAGAAATTTCTCCTTGTAAAGTTTAGCTAGTTCAGTCCATCAAAAAAAGAAATTAGCTAGTTCCATATTCATATGATTTGCCCTTACGCTTCTTAATTTCCTATTTTTGTGTTCTAAGACTTCACCTTGGATGGCATGACATTGTAAATGCTACTGATTTCCTTGTGCTTATTTGCTAACGCTAGATATCAAATGTACTTATATTAGTCCTAGAACTTATGACGTATCCCTGTAACCTGGTAAAATGCTATGCTAGGCACCTTCACTAACCCTTTAGGTGCAACACAAGAAACATTATCTCCAATGAACCGGGCTAGTATTGATTGGATTTCTAACTCTCAAACATTTGCATATGTATGTGTGAATTGATGAGACCCAATGTTCTACGGGTGAGCTTTGCATTCTTTCCTTGATACTAGAACTAGATCGTCTTCTCTTTGCCCCGTCACATGGTAGGCTTTCTCTTTAACAACCATAAATTTTCAGGTAATTCTTCAGTTCCTTGTTGTCCTATCCTTTTTTTCTTTCACTCTCCTTTTTCTATGGTATTTCTTGACTCTATTGCGTATCTTTTCTCTATTTTCTGTCGAATTTTTTGTTCTATCTTCTTCTTTCTTTTTCTATTTTCTTTCTATTGTAATTTTTCTGTATCTTCCTTTCTTATCGTTTTCCTTATCATCCTTTTGTTTTCCACCATATTTATGTTTCTTGCCTATGTCTTTTTCCTATTGTATTGCTTCTCTTTTTTCTTGCCGTTTCGAGAAGTTATAAGGCCTTCTTTTTGAGCTTTGTGGTTCTAGTGAAACTTCCCCTTTATCAGCTGCTTCAGGATCCAAAAAGTGTACAAGCCTGGTGAGAAGAAGTTGATTCCCTTCATCATAATCATACTTGGACTCTTATCCCTTGTCTGCGTAGCTTGAACATGTATTGTTCAGGATTGAGTTTTTGTTTGATTTCACCATTGCCTGGCACAAGTCTCGATTGCTATTCATGTTGATAAGACCTTTGGTATGTTGGTTCTGCTAGCTAGCACTTACATATTTTTATCTCTAGTTGCTTTACCATGGTAAGTTGATAATATTTTTTTTATATGCATCAAACTCTGGTCCTTTTATCTTGTACGAAGTAAATGGAGCTTCTATGTTGTACTTACCTGCTTGTAGGGCTGCCAAGGCCCGGCCTGAATTATTTTATTAAGCCTGGCCTGATCCGTTATCTGCCTGATAATGTCCTTCAGGCTGGGCTTGGGCCCGACCCAGCCCATATATACCTTTTTTTTTATAAGGGTAAGATCTCTCTCTTCAATTTTTTTTCCCTCTAAAAAAAAAGCCTTTTTGTATAGAAATTATATTCAAGTCGTTTTTTCAAACCCTAATAAAATCTAACAAATAAAAAAACATTTTTTTGAAAATTTTAAAAGGGCACGTCTACCCTACCAGCACATGCCCATCTCTCTCTCTCTCTAAAAAGTTTTTTAAAACCTAAAAAGGCATTGGTGAGGGTGATGGAAGCACGTGGGCACCCAACCAGCTCCCCCCCCCCCCCCAACCACACACACGCACACACACAAAAAAAAAAAACCTCTTTCTCTCCCATGGCCCCCCCCAAAATCGCCTGTCTCTCTCTCTTAAACTGGGGCTTATCAGTTATCTTTGCTGTCTCGAAAATAGCAAAAAAAAATGTTGTTCTTCTTTGTCTTTCGCTATATTTTTGGAGGATTTTATTCTCTTGTTCTCTCTCAATATTCTCTCTCTATACCTTTCTCTCAAACCTCTCTTTCTAAAGCACTCACCTATTCTCTCTCCTAAGCCCTATTGCCCTCTATTGGCTGTTGACTGAAAGCCAGAGTTTACTAAAAGGAGATGTATTGTTTTGGCGGAAGACTCTCGCTCTTGGTCCCCATGAGACTGGTTTGTTGAAGAGAGGAATGAGTGGGAAAGATGGAAACCTTAGAAAATGCTGGCGCAGAGAGCGAAAATGGAAGGGCTATGAGGACAGAGATGGGTTTGAGCGAGTGTGGTGCTTCAATGCTTGGAAACCAAGCTTTCTCTCTGCTTTCTCTCTCTCTCATTATTTTTGCTTCTCTCTGAAGCCATAATCAATAGGCATCCATGGCCCCAACCAGTGGGTTTTCTCTGTCTTTAGAGAGAGACTAGGGAAATTTGGATAAGAGAGAGAAGATGGAGGCGAAGAGAGAGGGTGAGAGAGATTGGATCTTGGGTGCAAAGAAAATATGAGCTTTAAGAGGGAGAGAGAGATTGGGTTTCGCAGTTAGAGAGGGGGAGAGAGATTGAGTTTTGGGTGCAGGTTTAAGAGGGCTATCTCCAGGTTTTCAGACCGATTTGGGGTCTATCTGACCCAGCCCTGCCCAAAAACAAAATGGCCCGCAACGCCCAGCTTGAAAGCCCAGTACGGCCCATAAAGTGGTATGGAATCGGCCTGTGACCGGCCCGGTCTGTTGGCACCCCTACCTGCTTGACTATGATTTGGTGAATGATCTGAATTGCAAGTTCACTTTGATGTTAGGAACGGTGCCTATCCGTGCGCATAATTGATATTCTTAGTAGTTTACATTATGTTTACTTGCTCAGTTGTTGTGCAGGCTTGTCATTTTTGGTTTGCCAATTCGTGCACAAATTGAGTAGTATTTACTTGAATGATGCTACAAATCTCCATCAAAGAAGAATTTTATGTGATTTTATAATTGAACAAAAGCGAGGAGCTTTCTCCCGGAAATAATCCAAGACAAATCCAATAGTGGCCACCGCTGCTCTTCTTCCTACAGTTCTTTTTCTTTGTAAGGCTAACACTTATGTTCGCTTACATATTATGTGGCTTTGAAAGAGATTTTGACGCCTATAAAGAATATTGTGCATCATGAATTTCTTTTGCAACACACATTACATCTTCCCTTTGTGGCCTGTTTAACTGCTATTGTTTTGGCTGGTCTGTTTAACTGCTATTGTTTTGGCTTCTCCTATCTTTGACACTTCATGATTAATTTTAGTATTCTCTAGGGTTGCAAAGAGCACTCTAATCCCCATCTTTTCGGTTGAATGGAATATCTTGTGTTGATTCGATTGCCTGAGGGGATTACCTTGCCGTTGTTCCTTTCCATTATGTTACGCTTATGTTACAACATGTAACTGCCAATTCGATCTTTGCCATGAGCTAAAACTTGAGGTGTAAATCAAGCCAAGAAATTTCTTCTTTCATTAAATAAAATTCATTGTATTGATATAATCATCCTATAATGTGACATCCGAGTTTTTATAAGCCTATGAAACCCTAAAATTAACTTGAAATTCAAGTAAATAATTTGAGACTCTAAGATACCCCTAAGCAATACTAAAATTTCAGAAATACCCATGGGAAAGAGTAACTTGTGAATAGTATCCATAAACAATACCATGAACAATAACTAGTGAATGCTAAAATAATAAAAAAATAGAAATTTAGTTTTGGAGATGAACCCCACTTATAATTCTTGAAATATTAACCTTAATAAAAAAACAAAATGTACACCTAAATCCATGAAATTGAAAAAATAAAATAAAATATTTAAATCATCTAGCTCTTGATCTTCATCATTCTCCCATGGTTGGAGAAAACTCGCCCTTGAGTTTTGAAATGGGTTAATTAAATCCTCCTCTAAACAAAAAGTCTGTCTCAACCCGAATATTGGTATTAATATTGGGGCTTAATCCTAGAACTTATGTGTTGTAGGCTTCATCAAAATATCCTCAAACAAGTTGCTGAGGATTTTGGTGCACTCAGCTATAGTCGCCTGCCTTTGTGGGATGGAGTCCTCTAATTGGAAAAAGGAAAGGTCGGCCCCACTATCGATGAAAGAAAATACCTCTTTATGGTCATTGCCTCTAGTTGCCTCCTCTTTTACCTCTTCACCACTATCGCAGTCATTACCATCATTGCAATGACCATCACCATGTCTACAACTTATTATTCTTCATACATAGGAACCCCAAGTTCTTCATTTTCATCCAATGGTTCATCAAAAATAGGATCGCCATCAAAGATAAGATCACGTAGTTCTTTATAAAAAATAAGATCTTTGTCAAAGATAGGAGCATTATTAGAGAGAGGACCATCCGCCGATTCAAAGAATATTGAATTCAATTGAAGATAGGATTAGCGTCTGATTTACGCATCTATGCCATTGTGCATCAAACCCATTTACATAAGCTGTTCCCACTCAGACTTGGAGTTTGATTTGTGCCAATCTTCATAAAACACTTACAATTTGGTACTATCCCTATAAATTCCTCTTCGTTTAGGGCACAATGTTGATGGTTTTGCTTGCGCAACAATAGTGTAATCCTCCTTATTTAGTTGTTGATTTCCTTGTGCAATCAGATCAGATTGGCATACTTACGGCTAATACCTCCACGACCAGCCATCACAATCTCTAACTGTCTTTGAACGGAGCTATGATACGAAATTGAAGCGGGAAGGAAAGGTTTGTAATTACATTCACCTTTCTTCCAAACCTCAAACAAGAAAAAATCAGCAATATTGGAGAAAAAACATGGATGTAAGTCAAGTCAAGAGAAGAATTTTCTTCTTTCATAAAATAAACTTCATTCCAATATTATAAGAATCCTATAATGTGACGTCTCGCCTTTTATAAGCCTATGAAACCTTAAAATTAACTTAAGAACCAAGTAAACAATTTAAGACTCTAAAATATACCTAAATAATACTAAAATTTCAGAAAGGACACGGTTTCTATGAGTCCATGTAGAAATGAGTCACCTCTTAAAAATCTATTTTTGAGATGCATTTTAGGACTTAATTTTCATGAACATGTAATTTCTAACATGGAGACCATAAATATGAAAAAATAAACAATTTTTGAAAATTAGAAATATTTATTTTATTAAGAAAACATTTGGACCGTTAGTTTCAATTGTTTTTAGATGGATCACCTATTTGTATCCATCTTTAAGATGAATCCTTTGTACCTTGGGACTGCATATTGTAGAAACACGTTCCAGCCCGTATGAAGCAATTTCCTTTCAGAAATACCTATGTGAACAGTATCCATGAATAGTATCCACGAACAATAGCCCTGAGTAGTAACCAACATATAGTAAAAAGAAGAAAATAGAAATTAAGTGTTAGAAATTAACCCTACATTATAATTTCTAAATAATTATCCTTAGTAAAAAATAAAACGTACATCCATATTTATGATATTAAAAAAACTAAAATTAAAATTTTGAATCACCCAGCTCTTGATTTCCATTGATGATATATGTGTTAAAGCATTTCCTAGTGTTCCATTTTAAACTTAGTGGCTTAAAAAGAAGTACGCTGTCGTCATACTTTACCCTCCTTCTTGAGGGGAGGTTCTGGTGGCAACTTTTGGGTCACTTAGGTCAGACTCAAAATGTTTTGTTTGTTTTAGAATTTAGATTGTGAAGGTTGCAATTCTGGTATTTGAGGTCCCTATTTTGCAGTTCGTGTATTTGAGGTCCCTACTTTTGGTCGCCAGAGTGGTGGCTCCAAAGTTTTGGGTTTGTTATGGACTTGTTGTTCTCACTTTGTTCAGCACGATCCTTACTTGAGTGATTTGGATTACAAGCACTCTGCAATTTGGGACACCCAAGTTGGGCACGGTTTTCTCTCACAGTTACATAGATTCTACATAGGGACGAAATTGAAACCATTAAATACTCTGATTATGTTAATAAATATAATTATTTGATAAAAGAATATTGAAGAGGTTTTCTTTGGTGAATAAGATATTGTAGTTTTTTTTTTTTTGAGAGGTAAGATTGTGTAGTTTTGGAATTTCTTATAAACATATCTGTAAGATCCAAGGGGATACCGCAGGTACTCGACAAATAGTTAACAAAATGCCGCACTGTTATGTTGTAGAAACCAGAACTAACCCAGTCAGAGCCAGTTTATGCAAAAGAGTTTTTAGAAGTTGCGTCATGTTATACCTTGGACTGATTTTCCTCCTGGGTATAATCTCTGGACTTCTCTGGCATAAATCCTTCTAGTGTTTCCACAGAATTGTTAATTATTTTGTGAAAATTGTGGCGTGACTTGCATGTTTTTAAACACGCACTTCCACAGGCAGGGCCAGAGTCTGAGCGAGCAGTTCACACTCAGCTGAGTCTGAGTCTGTAAAAAACATGACAAAGAAAGCTCAAATAGGGAGACTAAGCCGGTTTCTGAGGGTTTTCACTAGGGCCTGGCACCCTACTGGGTCCAAGTGTCTCAGCGAGTTTTGAAACACTGGTAGTATGAAATATTGCCTTTTTAGTTTTGGTGACGTGATGCAGCTGTAATATTTGTTTGATATTGGTGTAACTACTTTCCGTCAACATCTCTTCTGGATGTTAAAATTATTCCATGATTCATCTAATTTTGGTGAAATTTGACCTTCATGTTTCTCATGACACTTCTTTGTGTTGTACACCTAATTGTTTGGATTTGGACTTTTGCAGCTATAAATGCTTCAAATAATAATATTGATGCTCGTTTAACTTTAACATCTCTTCTTCTCGAAAAGAACAAAGAGGATGAAGCCCTGAAGTTACTTAGCCCTCCTGAAATTATGGGTATTTTCTTTCTGGGACTTAATTTATTTCATTATATAGTACTCTAATTGATTGTATTTGAATTTCACCAGGCTTTCTCATTATTAGTTTGTCTTTCAGATTCAAATAATACACACGATTCTGTCAAATCTGAACCTTGGTGGCTCAGTGGGAAGATAAAAAAGCAGCTTGCTTATATGTATCATAGAAAAGGAATGCTTGTGGAGTTTCTTAATACAATCTTTCCTCTGATTGAAGAAACATTGTCTATTGAGGTCAACAAGATTAAGAAGGTTAGTTAATGGGTTAACTGTGTCAGTTATTTGATTTGTAAGCTTCTGCCTATAAATGCCCATTGTCTTCATGACATAATGTACATTTCCTTTGTACGGAATAGTGGTACACCTGAGACATGGGGGACATAGAGGTTGATGACTATTGTGATTGAGGAAAAATGATTATGTTGCATGGTTTTCGTCTGCAACATCCACACTTTGTATTTGCCATGACAGGGTTATCTTTTATTACTGGTTGTATGCAACCATAATTTCTTCACCATCCTCATTCCCCAAGCTTATGTACGTTTGGTATTTCATTATGGGCAGCTTGGAATCTTTTAATTGATGATCAAATCAAGGATTGTGTTCCTGCCACTGCAGTCAACTTTGCAGTAGTCCACCTCTGTTAGAAACTTGACATCTTCGTAGAGTCTAGATCGTATCTTGGTAAGCGATGCAATAATGCTAACTGGGGTTTCTCGTTCTTCCTTTTAGATATTCATGATATTGATTCTTGTTCACTGTTTTTGGGCTGCATTTGATTTTATTTGGCTAATAATAGTGGACCAAACACTTATCCTGTCCTTAAAGTGATTCTGAGTTTGATGATAATCTAACAGCTAATTGATCCAGGCCGGACAGTTTTAATATTTGCTGTCCAGTCTGGTTCTGGTAACACTGGCATGCGTTACATTGATATCCTTGATAAATAAAGAATCACACAAAGGTCTAGGGTCTGACTATACCATATGTTACAATATTAACACGGCTATCTAGGCCCTTGCCTGTACCATCTTTGTACATTACGTTACTCTTCCCCAGCTCATCTCCGCGGTTTGTTGATGAGAATAAAAAAAGGGGTGGGCCATCTATGTACTCCAAACTATTCATTTAGGATATATATTTAGGGATACTAATTTTTTTTGTGGCTAGGATGGGCTAAGGAGCTGAAAGTGAACAAGGCTTATTTTGTAAGCAAACCAAAATACCTTGAATTTTCTTTAATGAATCTCAACAGAAAAATGATCCAGTTTGCTTTTGGGTGTTTTCTTATAACTGATTTTTTCCACAAGAATATTGTGGGGATTTTTTTTATTTTCAGCAATGATTGCCATTACAACAAACTGCGCTTGAATCAATTGCATCATTGCGTACACTTCAGTTCATGAGCTCAGATCATAGCATGCATTCACATTTGCATGTATGTATGCATGCATGCATTTATATATGTGTATACATGTATGTGTGCACAATTGCATGTATACATATGTCATATAATCATATAATTTTTGGCTCTCAGATTCTTTTTAGTATTTGTTTTTTCATGAGTGGGACAGTCATGACTTAGCAACAATGTTTTGTATTGGGTCTTTCGTTTCAACAAGATGCTGAAATCCTTTGTTTGGTACTAAGTTCATTGTTTTCAAGTTTGCTTGTATTGTGGAGAATCATATGGTAGTTCGTATGTTTTCAAGTGCCATTGCTTTTTCTACTTTGCTTTTTGACTACACAGTCCAAATATACTCTCAAAGTGGTGAAGTATTGTCAAAATTTGAACTTTAATGCATGCAGTAAATAGCTTATTTTGGGTTCTTAATAGTGGTCATTCCTCTTTTAGGTTTTCTCTTTGTGAATCACGATCTCATCTTATCAACAATTACTCATTATATGCTTGTAATAGGTTCGGCCAAGGAGAAAGCTCACTCAGAAAGATCTTCTTAAGAGGATCGAGGTGTTAAAAGATTGTGATGGTGATAATTTGATTCGTGGGGCTAGGCTTCCCATTCCTCAGAAAGAAGTGTGAGTACATTTTATGCCTCGGAATGCGTCTTTTTAAGGTCGTAAGATTTGAATATGAATCTGCAACTGATTTTTATGGATCTCTACTAATGTTCTGTACTTCCCTTGATATTCCATTTATTATGGATCCCCATGTGCAAATATTAGAATTCCCTAATACAATTTTCAAAATTCCTTGATGTATCTATGATGATTTGTTACCTGATTGGTTTGGCCTGCTTTGTAAGAAATATTAAGTTCTAAGAAAACATACTTTGGAAGTGACTTGCATGCTTCTTTAAAAATCCCACTTCCAAGAACTCCTTCAAAATTATACTTCCCATTATTTCCGTTCATTTGTTTCTGTAGTAATTAATTTGTTGAAATTTTATTTTCTTTATTCTTCTGGAATTTCCACTTGTGCATATTGCATGTGCTGCAGAAATTTTTGGTACGTCCCCCCACTTCGACTAGGCCATCTCCTTTTGCCCTCAACGTTTCAGAGTGTGCTAGAGGTTTCATCTGCAGACTTAGAAATGTATAGTTCTGCTTTGCCCTGTCTTTGGCAATGTTGTAACAACATCCCCATTCAGAAATGAATGGGCAAATTAAGTCTGATCAGTACGTGTCCCCTCACTTCTACATTGTGATAGTTCCAACTAGGAAATTCTATTTGAAAGGTGGTAACTGAAGGCATGAATTTATTGACAAAAGATGTTTTTTGTTTTTGGAGGCCTCTAGTTTGTTCTAGATCCAAAATTACATTCCATTGACGCACTTTCTGTTACTCATTTTGCTATATTTGGGTCGCTATCTGTTGTCTATATATGTGTATACCACTTATAACAATCAATCTTAGGGCAATGTAATATTATTCATAACAAGAAAATCAAAAGAAATTTATCATTATTCAGAACGACACTGAATTAGTGTAATTGTTGTACTTTCGTCTAATTTCTGATAGGCTTCTCCTTTTGCCTCTTCATTTGCAATGAACTAGCAATTTTGTGCAATCAAATTACTATCTTGTAACTCACATTTTTTTGATTATAGGATCAAGGCAAATAGGGCAAAAAAGTTGCTTCCAAAGCGGGCAATGGAGGAGGAAGAAGCGAAGGCTGCAGCATTGGCTGCAGGAATGATGTGGAAGAGTGATGATTCAGATATTGAACCTCTGGTATTGCAGCATTTTCTCTAAGGTAGAACAAACAGTAAATTGTTTGAGAGTTATAACAAGACTTGCATCTAAATTTTGAGCAGGAGACAACAAAAGAACCCCCACTACCTGGACTGCTTAAGGATGAAGAGCATTATCAGCTTCTTTTAAATGTTAGTGCTTGCTTTCGATGTTACTATTTGTTTGGTTTATGTCTTACTTTTTTGCTAGGGTATGTATAAACTCCAAGAACTCTTATTTTGTATGATTGCTAAATGTTTTTGTGGATGTCAATCATTGGGAGTTAATTGGCTCTTGCTCAGTAGAAATCATGATGTGTTTTACCAAATTTTACGCAAAACTTTTTCCTGATTTACTGACAATAGTTAAATCTGTCAACAATTATTTGAAAAAAAAAGGACCTATTTTCAAATCTTCCTGGTTGGTTAACTCATAGTGTTTCTTCAGAGCATAAAGTGGTGCTCTGACTCCCTTGAATTTCAAAAAGATGCCCAAAATTTCCTTGGATTGGGTATTGTAATGAGAAGCATCTGACATTGGCAGGCAGTTAGGGCTCCACCAGCACTCAGAAGTGTGTGTCAATGTGTGTGCTAGTACATGAGCATGAAATGGGTATGTGTTTATGTTTGCATGCATGGAAGTTATTTATGTATGTTTTCTCTGAGGATTCATGTATGTTATGATTATGGAACAGTGGATTCATTTTTTGAAATGTAGGAGTGTCTATGTATATAGTTTGTAGGCATGTGTAAATTCAGTAAGTTTATGGAAGAGTGAAATTGTAGTGGTTATATTAGATACAACCAGCCAACTCCTTATGTGGAGTATATTAGTGAAAGAATAAGAGAATGATAATGGCTTAACGTATGTCAGAATAGACTGTATACCACTGGGAGATAAAATGAAAATAACCTTCATCTGCTTCATTCTCACAGAAAATCAATTAGAGGTTATCTTTTTGGACCTATGATTATGATAATAATTAGTGTAGATGGTGTGCAACGTACCAGGTCACGAAGGAATTCTGAAAGCTATATGTACTCATTGCGGGTTTGAGACATGGTGCACAACTAAACCTCTTCATTAGACTTGGAAACAATCTCCTACTTCTTGGTCGGCCAAGATGTGCATTATGCTTCTAGTATGACAGAAAAACTGGTCAGGCATCTAATCAGGATGTTAGTGGAAGTCAAATGCTCTACTGAATAGTGCTACACTGACCTATAGATATGGCTTCCAACTAGGTGAGCCACTTGTTTATCACTTTATATCGCGCCTTTGCTATTTTTAGAGTTCGGGAGCTGGCTCATCATCTGCAACCAAAACATCTGACTCTACTGAGAATATCCATTGTCGTGTTTGTGAGATGAACAATGACATTACTGGTGAAGGATGGACATATTTCAGCGAGAGGAGAGATAAGCACAAGATATATAATTTTTATTGTCTTAATTCAATACCTCAATAGGCTTTACAAACTCGTGTCAAACTCTCTTTCTCAACCATTGGCTCACTCATGATAGTGTAACCCCAATGCCCCAATTTATGAATCCAAAAAGCCCAAACTTAGCTCTTCTTGCAAGCTACTTCTATGCCTTCAGTACCTGTTGCTTCTAGACTCTTATGTATCCTTAATACTCATCCAAAAGTAAAACCTACGAAAATGATTGGACTCAAGTACTTTCCAAAATCCCAGACTTCTTAAATTCCTAACCATCCAGAATATTTGCATTATTTCTGTCTACATCGACTTTCCTATTAATAAAAAACTCTAGAAATCTATCAAGCAATGCTATTTTTAACACCCTCAATTGCAAAGTCGTACCAATGTCTTTCATGCCTAAAGATCTTTTGAAGGTCTCCATCTCATCTTCTTTTGATTCAAAGCCTTACTGAAGATGTCAGTCACCTGGTCATTGGTTGGAGTTTATATTAGGTCAATCTTGTTTCTCAACACCTCCTCAAAAATAAATTTATAATGCTCCTCAATGTACTTCGTACAGGCAGGGAAGACTTGGTTTCAGGTAGCTGATATTGTCGCTTTGAATTGGGACAATGCAATCCATGGCTTCTTCAAATTTCGTTTGGAAAAATTTTATGTCGATGGGAAAATTGGTAGATCAAGGTTACCATGTTGTATTTGGTGATGCTCCATATGAGATTTCTATTAAAGGAGAACTGTAGGATCATCACATCAGTTCACAGCGTCAAAAAAAAAATAAAAATCTATAGGATCCTCAAATGTTACAACTGACAAGAAGATGGACTGCCTAAATGCCCTGATGATGGGTTACACTCAAATGTTGTAGACTTGTCCATAAAGCTACATTGCAAACTCCCTAGGCTAAAAGATAGGGCAGGGAAGAAGTTAGTCATTTGGCTGTGCATGATTACATGTGAAGCATGTGAGTTTGCAGTCGAATAGCAGAGTATCTAGTAGAATTAATCCAAGTGATGCGTGGGGCCGAGTCCTGCAAAGTCTTATAGTTGCGTGAGGTACTGTGCCTCTTTTTTTTGGAGATGAGGGTAGCATGTGTCCATTAGTGATTATTTCTGTTTTACATGGATCTATTTGCTTCATAATAAATCTGAAGCATTGGGTTACTTTTAACAATTTAATGCACTAATTGCAAATGAATGTAATAGAAATATCAAGAAATTTCGGACCAATAATGGTGGAGAATTCTTGTTGAGAGAGTTCGACGAATTCTTGAAAAGTATGGAATCAAGAATTATGTTTTATCTGTCTGGACTTCTTAACAATCTGGGAATGCCGAGAGGAAGAATCGACACATAGTAGCCACTTGAGCTATGATGAATGGGAACAATTTGTCGAAATGATATTGGGCAAAGGCAATATGTACCACCATGTACTTGATCATGGTCACACCTTTTGAGACCAAGGATGAAGAAGAAACCTGATTACCTTCATGTGGTTTGGTGAATAGCTTATGTGTGCTTGGTGATGATGCCATGACAGTCTTGACGATCAAGTACACGTGCATCTTCCTTGAATATTCATATGAGAGAAAACCATGTGAACGCAAAATCCAGTGGTCCACCTCATCTATGAGAGCCGAGATGTGATGTTTGATGAGCAAGTACAATGGCATCAGGCTGCTCAAGAAGCCGGAGGAGAAGAGGATTCTTTGACATCCATACCACCAGTAGCTGTAGAAACAAGTCCCACTGGATGCTGAACATCATAAAAAGGTGCCTGTACTGCTTCAAGTTCCCAAATTTAAGAACCAATCCAGTGTTATGAGGAGTGCCAAAGGTGCCCCTCAAAACGACTTGATGATTATTATGTCCAAAAAATGCACTATGCTTGCATGAAGCGAGTTATAGAGAGCATGAACTGAGTTTTGAAGAGGCAGCTAGTAGTCCAATGTGACAGCATGCCATGGAGGAAGAAACTGATGCTTTGGTCAAGAACCAAACATGGTAAAAGGCGAGAAAGCAATTGGGTGCAGGTCGATTTGCAAAATAAATCGTGAGTTAATAGACATGTCTCTATTCCTCGGGGGGGGGGGAGATGAATTGGGTTTTTGGTTTTGTTGCTTCCAAGATTCTTCTCTACTTTTATATTATATCACGTTGGTGAAAGAAGTGGCAATTTAGAATTTCAAGTTGTATATTAAAAAATTTACTTTCTTTTTCTTTAATTAATTGCTCTAAATTCTACTTACAAGTACCAGTATTACAATAAAATAGACCTATTACAATCAAATAGGCCTACTATAATCTAGGATCTTAATAACTTACTGCCACAATAAACTGTATTCAAATTGTATATAAACTAAGAATTATTGGAAATAAGACAAGAAAAACAGTAAATAAATTAAATAACTAAGGGAAAACTTACTGGATTTTGCCAAGGGTTACCCCTTTAAGGTTTAGCACTCCCCATACTCGATCACCTAACCAATGGTGCACTTTGATCCTAGAACCTACTGAATGCACGAATTTGAACATATGAGCACTTCTACGACTCGCTTTTTGAAACTTATGGCGCAAGAGAGCTAGGTTCACAATTAGAGTTTCTCTGAGAACCCTTATCAACCTATGGGCATGCCCCCCTCCTTGACTTCTCCTTTGAGGTGCATGCTACTCCAACACTTATGGGGGGTGGCTTGTCACCGTCTAGAGAGAGAGAGACAGAGGAGCTGTAGAGATTGAGATGAGAGAGAGAAGGGCATGGAGAGGGGAGAGAGAGAAGGGAGAGGTTTGATGTGATGAATGAGGGGGGAGACCCCCCTATTTATAGGCTTCTAGGGCTTAGGGAGTCCTAGTTAGATTAGGAGTTCAACATTATCTAGAATTATTTGGTGATCTGTGACGTGCGAGAGAAGATTTTATATGAGCCATTCATCTCCAAGATTAGCCATCATGATTGAGAGTGAATCTTTATGAATCTTATCCCTTGTGATTTGACCCATATCCACTTCTAGCCAATCTATAATTTTGACCAGTGAAACATAATCTTCTAGAATTATCTAGAATTCCTTTTCTCTCCGCAAAAGGATGATAAGGAATTTAAAATTAATTCAAAGTGGTCAAAGATAAACTAGATCACTGTTGGAAAAACCAGGCGATCTCACTGCTAACTGCCTGGTTTGTGGTCGGTTTCGGTTTTGGGCATTTTTGGTGATCAACCGGTATTTTTTTTTTTTTAAATGTATATAAATTCCTAAAAATAAGGAATTTGGTTTGTAATGCATTTTTTAATATTCTTTACATTATGGTAAAGATTAAAAATTGTTTTGGTCATTAGTACTTACTTTTATATTTTCCCATCTGTTTTGGAAAATTTTAAAAATACCTTTAGGCACAAATTGATTCATTAAAATCTATTTTTTTCATTAATTTTCAACTTCATTTGAATGTATTTCGTTTTAATCATTCTTTATATGCTTTTCATATTTAGTAGATTTTTTTTTTTTCAACATTTATTTCACCGCCCGAGACTTACCCGGTTAGAACGGTTGAATCGGCCGGTTTATCGCTTAGGCCGGTTAAACCGCTTTTGGGCCCATGTCCGGTTAGCCGTTCCGGTTCGATTTTATGAACACTAAACTAGATCCACTTAAAACTCATAAAAGATTTTCTTAATGAATATTTTTTAACCAAATATTTTCACTAAAAAAATATT